TTTTATTTTTCTGTAAAGTTGGAAAAAAAAAATCGGCCGATTTTGCCGATCGGCCGATTTTCGCGGCAATTAGTGGGCAAATCGGCCGATTTTTTTCCGATAAAAAATCTGCGCATGAGCAGTGACCTGCAAGAGGAAGACAAAAAGAAGAAGAGGAAGAAGGATGAAGAAGAGGATGAAGAGGAAGAAGAAGAGGATGAAGAAGAAGAAGAAGAGGATGAGGAAGAGGAAGAAGAAGAAGAAGAGGATGAAGAAAAGGATGAGGAAGAAGAAGAGGATGAGGATGAGGATGAAGAAGAAGAAGATGAGGATGAGGATGAAGAAGAAGAAGATGAGGATGAAGAAGAAGAAGAAGAAGAAGAAGAGGGAGAATGAAGAAGAAGAAGAGGAGGATGAAGAAGAAGAAGAGGAGGATGAAGAAGAAGAAGAAGAAGAGGAGGATGAAGAAGAAGAAGAGATGAGGATGAAGAAGAGGATGAAGAAGAAGAAGAGGATGAGGATGAAGAAGAAGAGGATGAAGAAGAAGAGGACGAGGGTGAGGAAGAGGACGAGGGTGAGGAAGAAGAAGAAGATGAGGATGAAGAAGAAGAGGATGAGGATGAAGAAGAAGAAGAGGATGAAGAAGATGAGGATGAAGAAGAGGATGAGAGTGAGGAAGAAGAAGAAGAGAGGATGAGGATGAAGAAGAAGAGGATGAGGATGAAGAAGAGGATGAGGATGAAGAAGAAGAAGAAGAGGATGAGGAAGAAGAAGAGGATGTAGAAGAAGAGGATGAGGATGAAGAAGAGGATGAGGATGATGAAGAAGAAGAAGAGGAAGAAGAAGAAGAGGAGGAGGAGGAGGATGAAGAAGAAGTGGATGAGGATGAGGAAGAAGAGGAGGAGGATGAGGATGATGAAGGAGAAGAGGATGAGGATGATGAAGAAGAAGAGGACGAGGATGAGGAAAAAGAAGAAGAGGATGAGGATGAAGAAGAAGAGGATGAGGTATGAGGATGAGGAAGAAGAAGAAGATGAGGATGAGGAAGAAGAAGAAGAGGAGGATGAGGATGAAGAAGAAGAAGAAGAAGAAGAAGAGGATGAGGATGAAGAAGAGGATGATGATGAAGATGAAGAAGAAGAAGAGGATGAGGATGATGATGATGATGAAGAAGAAGAGGATGAGGGAGGATGAAGAAGAGGAAGAAGAAGAAGAGGATGATGATGAAGACAGAAGAAGATAGAAGAGGGAGGAGAAGAGGATGAGGATGAAGAAGAAGAAGTAGGATGAAAATAAGAAGCATTCCAGTCCAGCAAAAAGTGTCTCTGCAGAGAGCTTAAGATCTGCTATTTCTGACAGTTTCTCTGACAGTTCTTTGACATTACAGCGGTTGCAACAATGTATCTATTTGTTTTACTAATAAAACACAATCTGTATCCTAAATGGAAACAAATACAGATACAATGTTTAGCAACCGCTGTAAAATGGTGAAGGAACTGTCAGAGAAACTGTACAGAAATAGCGGAGCTCTCTGCAGGGACACTTTTTGCCGGCTAGTTACGGAAGGGATGAAAATCGGCCAATTTTTTTTTTTATCATTGATGGTAACGTCAGCCGCTTGAAAACACGGCGAATTTTCGTTTTTTTAAAAATTTTCGAAAAATCTGCCGTTTTTCTCCCCCATCTATGGCCTGCATTAGCGCTGTCGGCTTGTAGTTCTCCATGGCACTGTGTGGCTTTGGTAGTTCATTGAGTCTTCCTGTCAGTAAGTTATGAGGTACGAAGAAGCAGATAGACTGACAGATCTGCAGGAGCGACCTGCATGGTCATCAGTGATCTGCTGATCATTGGTACAATGCTTTACAGCCTCCTACAACACTAAAAAAAATTTAAATGTACATTTTTTTTAAACCTAACAAAAAAAGTGAATTTATTTATTTTTTGTTGAAAGGTGAACTTATCCTTTAACAAACAGACTTAAAACTTAACATATATTTTCCCATTCTGCACATGTCTAATGATAAACTTGCATAGTCAGTCCCCACATATTTTGATTAGACTGTCAGTCATTGCTGATTAGACACTTGCTATCTTAATCTCTACATAATAATCTGTGCAGCTCTGTCCCTAGCAGATTGCAACAAAAAAATAGCTGAAAGTTTAAAAGCTTTTATAATAAAAAGTATAATAAACTATATGTTTGAGCATGCAGGCAGGGCTGGTGCTGGCTATTTGCTCCCTAGGCAAGACAAGCTACTTGCAAACCCCTACTAGCACATATCTTCCTCCTAGCGTAAATCCCCCCTCCTAGCACAAATCCCCCTATATCCCTCCTTCTAGGCCACAACCCCCTTCCAAATTACCCTTCTCAGCACAAATCCTTCTCCCCCACCCAAACCCCCCTACTAGCACACCCCCATCCCCTCCCAATCCCCCTCCCTAGCACAATTTCCCCCCCCCCCCAAAACCCCCCTCCTGACACAAATCCTCCCTTGTAGCACAACCCCTCCTCGTCCCCCTCCTAGCACAAATCCCTTTCCCAATCATCCCTTCAAGCACAACCCCCTCCCCTAGTACAAATTCACCCAATCCCCTCCCCTAGTACAAATTCACCCAGTCCCCCCCCTCCTAACAAAAATCTCCCCAAATCCCCCCTTCAAACACAACCCCTCCAATCCACTCTCCTAACACAGATCTCATCAACCCCTTCTCTTAGCAACAAATCCCCCCCAACCAATTCCCCCCCTAGCACCCCCCCATCCCCCTCCCCAGCACCAATCCTCTTCCACTCAATCCCACCCACTTAGTGACAAAGTTCCCCCAAATCCCTCCTCTAGCTAAAACCTCTCCCCAAATATACCCTTCCCAATATAAAATCCTCCCACCTTATCCAAATTCCCCCCCCCCTTAGCACAAATCCAGCCAAACCCTTCCAGTCCCCCCAAACCTTCCATCCTTCTCCTAGCACAAATTCCCCACCCCCATAATTTCCATTCCCACTCTGCACAAATAGTTCTCTTTTCTCCCCTCCTGCACAATAGGACACAGGATCGCTCTTGGATCGTGGCTGTACACACAGTTTGATCACTCCACCCCCTATAACCCTCCAATGTCTTCTTTATGGAGGATTGCTCACCACTGACAGGAAGAAGAGCACAGCCCTGCACTTCCCTAGCTCTTTCCTGAGTCATTTCTCCTCCTTTGCATGCTTCACTCATCCAGGCTGCTCTTCTCCCATTGTCCCAGTGAGTGTGAGAGATGGAGGAAGGCACACTGCAGCGGCCACAGTAGCATAGCGTCTATGGAAAGACCAGCCTGGTAGGGCACAACTGAAATCTAATGGGGGGCATAGCCCACCCCCAGCATCCCCCTATATCCGGGCCATGGCGGAGAGTAGAGAAACCAATGGCCATCCGGCCTAGTTGCCCTAGTGGCTGCCTATTTCACTACACAGGGAGAAAGTGTGCCCCCTCCCCTAGGTACGACCCCCCTTTACCTAGGAAAGAGTCAAAGGAGATGCCCTCCCCTGTCATCACCAATTTTTCTCTTGGTGTCAGGAAAAATTCATCAGACGTGTTTGATAGCAGATGAATGCGGCAGCAGCGAGAAATGCGCTGCATTGAGAAAAGCACACACTAAGAGGGATATGCTTGTTTGATTTTTTTTTTTTTTTTTTTTTTTTCTTTTTTTTTTTTTTTTTTTTTTTTTTTTTTTCTTTTTTTTTTTTTTTTTTTTTTTTTGGTTTTTTTTTTTGTTTTTTTTTTTTTTTTATAAGAAGGTTTACTTTTTTTTTTTTTTATGATATAGCCATTTTTTTTTTTTCATATACACATGTAAACCATGTTGGCTTAATTGTAAGCAGATCAGATGTAATGTAACACATCCTTATCAATGTTAGTCATTTATAATAATAAACGGATTGAAAACATACCAGTGTGTCTGATTATCACTCAGCAGTTAAAGTGAGCTCACCCTCCCCCACTCCAGAATTAAAGACTGACAACTAACTATAAATGCTGCCTGTACAGTACAGGCAAACCAAGCTGCTTTCTATTCATGGCTCTCAGAAAACCTTCCTATGGGAAAAACATAAAATATTAATTTTACATTGCCATTACAGAAGCCCCCACGTACCTTCATAGTTAAGCCCCACCCACCTATCAGCCCTGATTTCTCAATAGGAAATTTCTTTTTATTTCTTTCTGAAGCAGCATCATTGGCGATATGCACTCACACAGGCCACTTTACTAGGTACACACCTGTTTACAATTGCTAGGTAACACAAATTGCCAATCAGCCAATCACATGGCAGCAACTCAATGCATATTTAGGCAAGTAGAACGATGGTGAAGACAAAATAAACTGCTGAAGTTCAAACTGAGCATCAGAATGGGGAAGAAAGGGAATTTAAGTGAGTTTGAATATGGCAGGTTGTTGTGCCAGATGTGCTGGTCTGAGTATTTCAAAAACTGCTGATCTACTGGGTGATTTTCATGCACAACCGTCTCTAGGGATTTACAGAGAATGGCGACCGAAAAAGAGAAAATATCCAGTGAGCTTGGTGTCAGTAGTGTAGGAATGAAAATGCCTTGTTGATGTCAGAAGAGCAATGGCAGACTGGTTTCTGAGATGATAGAAAGACAACAGTAACTCATGTCAACTATGGCATCCAAAATCTCTCCGAGGAATATTTGAATCTGTGAACACGAAGAATTCAAGAATTAACGCAGTTCTAAAGGCCAAAACGATGTCCAACCCGGTCCTAGCAAGATGTACCTAATAAAGTGGTCAGGTAAGTGCATAATCATATAGTGTAGGCCTGCTTATCTACACAACTGGCAGACTACATTCTTTGAAAAATACTACAGTATACATTAATTTTGAAACCTAAATAAAAAGGATACACATGATGTCCCTCCAATGATGTGAACTTATGCTGGTCATCAATCTGATATTTGACTGTTTCTTACCATATAGGATGCCAGGATTTGGTAGGAACAGTGTAGTCGTCCCCCCCCCCGCTACATTACAGTACACATCTGTGAACCAAATATAGCAACCAGCAGACACAAGACAAAGGAGCGAAGTCGCAGCTGGGGGAATACTCTGCAAAGGAGTGAGCTTATCTCCAAGCCAACTCGCCAATCCCGATTCCTATATGAAGAAGAAAAAATAGGTATATTGACCCTTTCTAATTGCAACATAAAGCAGCAAGATAGTAGAGATAGGTGCAAGTTTTCGTTTACCATAAGAGTAGGCCCATCTGCGTCTGCATTCCAAGCCATGTGTGACATCCAAGCTAGTGGATATATTATCTGTAAGTATATATACCTGTGTAGTATGATATCACACAGCCTTTCTTAAAACTCTTAAAGAGAGGTATTATCATGTTGTTTTTAAGGGCAAGTTCATGACTCTGGAGAAGTGACAGAACAGACTCTGTATTCCCCAAAGTATTTTTTTTCTATGATATATTAACAATTTTTGTGTGGTATTTAATGTAACCTTACTACACTTAAGCCAAAACTATGATCTTACCGACCTCGCTGCCCGCTTAGCTAGAGCAAATCCTCCCTCCCAGCAGGATGACAATGTTCCACTTAGGATATCTATCTTCTGGTTTACAGTTTTCCCAGTCCAAGAGAGGCGTGGTACAAAGTATTTATATAACTTTTTTCCTAGTATTAAATAAAGTAGCAGAAAAGATGGTGAAAAATGTATCTTTAGTGTCCTATTAACAACTAGGAACTAAATAAATATGATGGCCTGTAGTAGTCAAAGTAAAGCTCCAAACAAGTAGCTGAATATGTTCTTTAAGATCAACCTTGTCTGGTTAACAAAAAATACAGATGAACAGGCCCGCACAATAGAAGAGATATTATACTCACCTCTAGTGTGGGATGGTCCTTATGTCATTTTACCATCTCTCCATTCCAGCCCTCAGCTTTGTCAGCATCTTTAGCATTCAACACATCCATGAGAAGATGAAAGAATTTGTGTTCTACTTAACCATTTGGTGCATCACTTTTTCTGCTCCCTAGCATGTCTGTACCCCTGTGCATAAAATACTAGGAGGTACTCAAGTGTCCTGCACAAAGCCCTAAACACAACTCCATCAATACCTTTGGGGATGAATTGGAACACTGATTGCAAGTCAATTATTCTATTTCATTATCACTGACACCAGTCCTTGCAAATACTATTTCCAACAGAAACATTTTATAAATCATGCCCAGAGTGGAGGCCCCATTATAACCACAAAAAGAAGACAATGCAATATTATTGCCCATAATTCTTGAATTTCCCAAAAGCTCATATTGGTGTAAAATGGTCAGTTTTTCCCATATACCCAGGAGTACGGCCAGTTTATATGTATGGGGAGCTGTACACAGCATTTTGCTTGCCAAAGCGAAGAGGTGGGGGGTGAAAGAAGGCCAGAAGATACATTGAATGGGCTCAAGGCACCCACATGTAGGAGCCCATAACTCTACAATGAATGCAGCCCAGCCCACATAATTGGCCTAAAAATATTCATATCGCATTCTCCCATCACTGTTGAGTGATTGCCTTTCTATGTCCATCTTATAGATAAGAATAAACCAGACCAAGGTTGGAGATTTGATCCTTAGGCAACCTTGATCCCTATACACATTTTTTTCTCTTAATGTTTTTGAGGCCATCATTTGAGGGAACCCACATGTAACTTCCAGATTAATGTGATGAACGCACCAGGAAATGAATTGTGAGTATATACACAGAAAAATTACATGGCAAGGAAATGTCAAAGGGTGAACTTTCGTCAGGGCTGGAAATCCATTTGCAACCTACAGGTGTCAGTTTTATAATCAAATTACAGTAATATAGTATTCATAATTTATTATATTGAAGATTTTAATAAACAAGGAACATTGAGTAGGTAAATAATGGTTCATATCGTAGATATTGCCAGTACATGAAAGATATAAACAATATATTTCCCACCAATTCGCCTGTGGGTAATAATATAGTGGATGTTGGTGGATGGCATGAGCAGGTATGGTCAGTATTTTTCTGAAACCGTGTAAGGTTGTAAGAAAGGAGATCTATAGGGGGTGAGAGAGACACGGAGTAGGGAAACAGGGTGAAGTGGGAAAGAGGGGAGAGTGGAGTGGAAGGCGTAAGTGCACCATTCTACGGCCAGATGTGTCGGTCAAGTAATATTTTATAGTGAATGTATCAGAGGTCATTTACTACGGAGCAGTTTGGGTTCTGTAAACCATCGATGACCAATGGAAGCTTAGATTGTGTGAATAGGCATGAATTGTCTAAGGGCAGATCCATTTTTTTCCATCTATCAAATTGTGGAAGTTAATGGGCCTGTTATCAAGTGAAGTAAAGGGAAGGAGAATTACTAGTGTTCCATAGTTTAGTTTATATTTTAGCTGCAACTAATGTGTTGTATAATAAATGGTACAGGAGTCCCCCCCCCCACCCCCTTGAGGGAAATCATTTGATTGCAATAATGGAGGTGAGTGCGAGAGCAGTCGTTTGGGGTTATTGGACTTTTTTTGAGTTAAGGTTGAGAGCATATGGAAGACGCTGTTCCCAGAAGAATTATTTTTAAGTGAATTGCATGTCCCATAGTGTATGGATCGTTGAATCCTCATTTATTCTCTGCACTGTCTTCCAACATTAAGGAGCGCAGGAATGCTGTGGATAGTACAGTGAGAGTTTAACGTGGTGTTTTAAGTACCAATTCCAATGTAGTAATTTTTAGTGTACGATTTTCCCAGTGAGAACTACATCGTGAATTCTCTGTAAGCTTGATGTTGAAGGTTTTCTTCTTTTTTTCGCCCACAAATTATGTATGGTATAGGTATGTAGGGATAATATTTTATCCCCAGTTAATTAAGGAGGAGGTACTTGTAGGGTAAATAGTGAAATCTGCTGTATATGTTAGTGTGTAAAAAGGTAGACATACCTCTACCTGGATAATTTTTGTTTTGTAAAAGAATTGGTATGCAGTGGTAGGTACACGTTTCGTAAAATGAGGAATATTTTATTGTTCGTAAGCAGTCTGAGCCTATTCTCAGGTAGGTGAAGTATCTCGGTCAGCGGGTAGATAAATTATATTAGAAGTGAGAATACTTGGAACGATTCCCAAAATGGTGGTTTGTGTAGAGAGATTATGTTGGTTCGGTAGGCCGGATTTTTCCCATTTGTAGAAAAAATTTATTGAGGGAGTGGAATTAGGTTGTAAGTCATATATTGAATTGAGTAAGGTATGTGTATTGTGGTAATTTTTCAAATTTAGTAGTTGATGAAGGTTAGTACCAAGCTTGGAGAGAGGCTTGGATACAAGGGTCTTTATAGGTATGCAATATGATTGTGGGGTATTTTGTCTGATGTGAATAGGTATGATTCCGATGTATATAAGTAGGGAGCAGTGGGAAGTGATTTTCCATGTTAGACCAATAATTTTCTTTATTGTTGGGTGCCACCAAAAGTATATTTGAGTTCAAGAAATAGTCGCATTTGTAAGTACGCATTATTTAAGCTGTGGAAGGCCTGCGCCTCCTCTGGAAGTTAGTGTGATGTAATAGTAGATATGTAGTACATCTGGGTTTTTTAGTGAGTTCCAGAGGAATCTTTAGAGAAGACTGTTTTGTGGGTAGTTTAGAGAAGAAGAGATATTGGGAGATGGTGAAATAGGGAGAGTGCGGTGAACTATGTAATAGAATTTTAGGTAATAATGTACATATTTAGAGTATCGCTACTTGGTCCCAGTTTTGAGAGTGTTTGACTGTACTAAGTCGTTGCGATATTCTCGCTGGAATGGATTCAAGTAGTAATTTAATTGATTTTACAGGGTAATAATTGGTCCTATATTTGCAGGTGAGTTTAATTCCCAAACTAGGGGTATGTTGTGTTGTTCCCCGAAGAAGGGAAATTGTATTTGGCTAGTGATTGGTTTGGGTTTTTTGGACATAGGTGTTCGTGAGATTTAATGATTGGGAGGATATTAGGATATGTGTTAAGTTATGTAGTAGGAAACTTCCTGAATAATTTTTATGAGAAATTGACACGAAATGCGTTTGGAGAGATTTCTATGTAGGGTTGGTTATCAATAGTATGATATTGTTCTGGGCATACAACTGGGGATATCTATGCGTGTGATGAGGTGGGGGTAATACCCTGCAAAAATAATATGATGACCATTTCTTAGTTATGTAATCTAAGGGTTCAATAAGTAGTGTAAATAATTATGGGGGATAAGCGGCAACCTTAGGTCTGGTGGCCGTTTGTGAATGTCGAAGGGATCTGAAGCGTGAACCATCTGTTTAATACCTTATGGAGGCAGAGGTATTGGAGTAGAGGGAAAGGATGGCTTGATAAGATCCAATCCATGTGTGCTGAATTTTTGTAGGGTTAAACAAAAGCATTAACCTTTCTAGTGTAATTCGATCGAAATGCTTTCTTCTCCTCGTCCTAAGGATAGTAGTATGGAGGGCGTTTTTTGGTGAATTCTATGGTTTATGGAGATGAGATATGATTCCTCCTAGTTGCGTCAGGAGCTTGGCGACCAGAGATGAAATCCTACTTGGTCTGGGTGGATTTAATGTCGGTAGTTAGAGGGAGTGAGTCCTTTTGGGCTATTATTTTAGCATATTAGCGTTATGTCTGCGATTGTTGAGTAGTGATTATTGGAGTATCAATACGGGACATTAAGCAGGATCTTTACCTGGCGTTCCGGGATAGCGCCGCAATTATGGATTGTACAGCCATTTCTTTTGGGGAATGAGGCTGTAGTGGCAGCATGGATTAAGAGAGCTTTGAGTCAAAATATGGTTGAAAGGTCATGAGGGCAAATGATTATGGAAAAATTTGTTGGTAGAAACCTACGTTTTCCAATGGTGATTTAGAGTTGAGTGGTAAAGCTCTAAATGGTTTTGTCCTATTTTCCGCAGGAGGAAATTTGGGTGTGAGATAGTAAAGTGAGTTCGGTCTGAAGTGAGTTGGGGTAGTTGTGATAGTATCACGAAATTTTTGTATGGATAAGGGGTGGGTGGTGTTGGTTGGTTAGTGTCACCCCCCCCCACCCATTTTTGAGATGTTACTAATTTTTGAGGTAGTACGTTTGCGAAGGCATTTGCATATCTTCTTGTGGTTTAGTGAGAGAAGTGTGAGATAGTTGGAATGTTTGACAATAGAGGATTTTGGTTTTTAAGCGTCTTTGTTTCGATTAGTTTAAGTTAGTAAGTGAGGTTTGCTTAGTTAGCCTAAGGAATAGAAATGATGCTTTCATATTTTTTGCAGGTTGAATATCCATATTTATATAGTAGAAGGGCTCTTTATTACTTTCTGATCTGAGGTGAGGGAGGAAGGATCGTGGTAGGGATTTGGGAACTATTTTTCTGTTTTGGTGTGGTTCTTTTCAGTTTAATAGATGCATAAGAGTTTGGTCAAATTTGGTTGGGCTTCATTGATTTTGTGATGCTTTGCGAGTTTAATTGTATGAGGAAAACCTCTCAATGTAGGCTTCGTAAGCGCGCCATAGAGTTGTGGAAATAGAAATGTCAGGTGTGGCGGGGGGGGGGATTTCATTTAAGTACAAAAAAAAAACATATTGTGTGCAATCTAGTATGTGCATCTTTTTCGTCTGGGTTTCTTCAGTAACCGATTGAATATTAGTCACCAGATTCCCGAGCGT